CCCAACCCTGGTACCGCCCAACCGGGCCTGGCCTAAACAGTGGCGGGACCTGGCCGGGCTCGGGTCGGGCCGGCCCGTCCCAGTGCATTCCTAATTGGGACAAATGGAGTCTCTCACAATCTCACCCATCAACTATTGTTGGCGATTTGTGTGTAGAAAAAGAGGAGAGTAGATATGAGATAAGGCAAGAATGAAAGTTGTGTTATTGAATTTTGGGAAAATTTTCAAATACTACCTCTGTTCTTAAATAAACGATGCAGTCAACTTTTCACGTTTGTCAATGCACAATTTTTACGATTAGTATATTTAATTAATTAATTCTCTTGAAGTAAAAAATTAAAAAATTCTGATTTTGAAATTTTAGGATGAAACAAATTTAAAACTATTTTTTAAAAATATTTTATTAATACATTAATAAATAAAATGTAGTCAAAGTAGAACATGTGAACAGTGTAAAATTCCACATGTTGCATTTATTTAAGAACGGGCTTGGTAGGTTTCTGTACTTATGTGAAAAAGTTAATCAAGTTCTGCTACTTTTAGGTGAATCAATTAGATACATGAAGTGTTAAAATTGATCAAATTAGCTATTTTCCAGGTAATGATTCAGTTTCTCCGTTGACAGGTGACGTGGCTAGTGTGAAATAGCTTGTGTGTCTAACATGTTTGATTAGCATGTTAGTCAGCATATGGCATTTCGATGTAAGACTAAATGAATGGATAGTGCGAAATAGCTTGTGAGTTGGACATGTTTGATTAGCATGTTAGGATGTTTTCTTTTGGACTATTTTAAATCCTAGACCAGATCAGACTTCCGTAATTATAAAATACACAGACACCAGACAATTATCATATCAAACCATACCATCAAATTTCAGTTCAAAAGGATAAAACTTTGCCTTAGTTTTTTGATGCAAGACTAGCAAATTTCAGCATGGTATTTTGATGTAAGACTAAATAAATGGATAGGTGGAAATAAAATAACAAAGGTGATGTTTATACTCACTCATGTTTGTGAAGACTTTTTTATTTTTGAGCCCCATTCACATATAATATTTTTTGTGAAGATAAAATAACATACGAAGTATATAAAAAAAACTTCACAAAAGCCGTTTTCTTGTGGATATAAGGATGGATACTTTGTCTTAGGGTATGTTTGGCAAATGGCTTATCAGTCAGCTTTTAGCTTGTTTGACCCATTTCAACTGTTTGATTAGTCAAAGAAGCTAATAATAATGTTTGGTAAATGACTTTTAAAATTAGCTTGTTGAGTTTGAAAAGCTGAAAAAATGGATTGTGGAAGAAGCTAAGGGGAGCAGCTTCTTCATTTGGGTGGTTCAATTTACACTCTATCAGCCATTTCAAAAGAGCCAATTTTACCAAACAGTTATTTATAATCAGCCAACATAACCAGTCGGTCAAAACAGCTAACATAACCAGCTAACAACCATTTACCAAACAAGGCCTTAGTTGTTTTTTGACATAAAACTTCAGCCTTACTAATGCCTTAGTTTGTTGAGATATATAATCGAGTGAAACCAGAAAAGATTTGAACAAAAAGCAGAGGGGCATTCCGAGAATTGAACTCGGGACCTCTCGCACCCTAAGCGAGAATCATACCACTAGACCAAATGCCCTGATTGTTAGAATGACGTATAACACGATATTTATTGAGACAACTGCGGACTGCTTGCTCGACCCAAGTTAATGAAGTTATAACACACCTCGTTTTGGAATGATAACCTTTTAATATTTTAGTGTTAAGCATTTTTTTACTTTTGAGAAAAAACAAGTATTTTTTAAAATTTATAACCATCCACCAAATGTCTTTACCACCTACATGATGAACCCGTTTGGTAACACTAAAAATTGGCTGAATTGGCTGATTTTGTTGAAATTTATGAAGTCCTGGCTGAAGTGGCTGTATTGACTGATTCTGCTGATTAATGAAAAAATTATATTTAAAATGTTTGTTATTAATACATAAAATAAAATATTATATGAAAAAATAGCTAAAATGATCCTCTACAGTAACTTCAGTCAATACAGCCAGAAAAGTAACTACAACCTTACTTTTTCTGCTTATTACACAATTCAGCGCGCGAAATCAAAAGTTACGTGTTTGGTGAAAAAGCTGGCTGATAAGCCTGATAAGCCGAAAAAAGGGTCACCAAACGGGCTCGATATATGTTACAATCACATAAAAAACGATGTGCGATAAGTAGCACCATTATATTACAACCAAATACATAAAGGCAAGAATTGATGGCCATTATTTAATCAAACCACCCAAAGTGCTGGAAAAATGATGTTAACATAAGAAATCAAGTAAGTGTATATAGAAAATAAAATAAAAACAGAAGCTAGAAAATATATTGTCTTTCCCCGGCCTTTAAATGTATTCACATTTCTTTTTTATTTATTTTACTTTTGAATTAAGTATTGGTGAAAGAGTTAAGGTGTGAACCCTATAGCTATGAATCCTATGATGGAAGCTGTTGAGTCATCGCAATGACACTCATCGCCTATCTCAATTTGCATATCATGGACGTCTTGGTGTGGCCAAGCTTTTCCACTAAGAGATACTTAGTATATATTTTCCTCGAAGGAGGACTAAAAGTGAAGTATATATGACAATCCCAAAATAAATTTTCTTGTTTGACTTTTAAATCAAAATTTATTGACATACAATAAAGTCACTCAAAAGTTAACTTACATGGAATGTCATCTCTATAAAGTTATATCCACCTATTTAATTAACTATAACCCTTTTCAAGTTTAATCTAATATCATCTGGTTTGTGATCTTTGTACGAGAACACACCTAGGATGAAATGACTCGAGTAGTTTACTAGACGAGAGAGATAATTTTGTGAGTTTTTCATTAACTGTTACTAGTCTTACTATCTTTGTCCCTCTAAGATTGTAACAAAAGAGAGTGATGTGATTTTTAAGGAAAATAGAGTTACGTGATTGATAATAAAAAGATAAACAGAGAATAATGTAAGAATGAATTAGAGCAGCAAAAACATTACCAAATTATATATTGGACTATCTTAATGGGATTTGTCGAAAAGGAAAAATGAGACAATCTTAGCGGAAGAGAGGGAGTAGCTTTTAATGACTGAAAAGATTTACTCTGTAAAGAGAAAGGCAGTAGTTGTTTAATAAAATGCTAGAAAAAAAAAGATAAAAAGCTAACTGAATACTTTAGTTCCATTTGATATACAAGTTGTTGTAACTAATTAATACTAAAAGCTAAATATCATTATCAGATGTTATTCACTGTTGCTTCTCAAATAAATCTTTAATTTTGAAAAAAACTATTAAAAACTGTCATGTCAAACACACAACTAGAACATGTTAAAGACTTTTTTAATAATACAAAAGCTAGAAAGTAGGGAATTATGCATTCATATCAAACATGCACTAAGTGCCAACCCTTGCTATCTTTCCACCTAATTTGGTATTATTAGGGGGTGGACACTGTCCGGGACGGAACGAGAATTGGATTGTCCCGACACTGAACCCAGTTTAGAATAACTGTTTGGAACGGGATGAGACAAGACATTGTCATGCTGTTGTCTCTCTTAACCGGTGTTGGGTTCGGAATATCCCAAAAAACTATAGTGAAAAAAAATGCAAAACCAAACAACAAATCAAAACGATTTGCAAAAAAAAAATATAATAATACAAACAAAACTTTATGACAAAAAAAACCACGACACAAATCATGAAATTTGCCAAAAAAAATCAACACAACAAAATAGATTGTAGCTTAACAGGATAACTGTAAGAAACAAAAAGGTGTAGCAAAAAAAAACTCCATCATATCAAACACAATACTATCAAGAAATTTACTAAATGAAACAGCTAATATAATATGTAGTATTATGAGAACTGAGAAGTGAAACTTTTGAGAGTAAAAGTGAGTTTAATTTCTTTTTGATAGATTAAATATATGGAGTACATAGTAGTTCAGTCATTTGATGGAAATGGATAAATTTTACCTATCCTAGTCCCGTTTTGTTTTGAAACGGTTTCGGATCGGTATGAGACAAAGATAATTCGTTTCAAATATATCAGGACAATTTCATAGGATCCGGGACGTTCCAGAACAGGAGACAGGTCTTTTGCCCAACCCTATTTGGTATATAGTGTGTGACAAGTGTAAAAATTAGACGGTGTCAGATATAAATACTTTTTTAAATAAATGCTTAGACAAAATATAATACACTATGAGGCAATGTGTTAAAGATGCCCCTAACATACGCCCTTTGTGTGACTGAAGAAATAATATTTTTACTCCCTTAATTTTGTAGTATCAAAGTCGTTGTCTCACTAATCCTCAATGCATGAGACAATCATCACATGTGATTCGTGATTATTAGTAATCATTCATTATTTCTCATAACCTCCCTCTATCTCGTTGCAATTTACATCAAGATTAATTTGCTATGTGATGTTGAGTTCAATACTAATTGTTTCACTAAAATTTTAGAGGCTTAACAATAAAGTATCGGTAGCATTTTTGAATATTTATATCCGCTCTTTACTTGTTGTGTCTGATTTTGTAAGATATACTTTGTATTTCTCTTGAGTTATCAAAAAATATAAACAATTTTCTAAAATGAGTTTTATTGATTTTGAACTTTCTCAATTTATCTCTCATCATTTCATTCTTTATGTTTTCTAGACATATTTTACTTTCTATTTTGCTTTTTGAGTGTTACAATTATAAAATAATCTTTACTTCTATTTTTTTGAAATCAGTGTGAAATCCATGTACTCCCTCCATCCATAAATTATCTTTCAAAAATTTTTTCGTCCGTTTCAAAATAATCTTTCATTTTCAATTTTTTGCGAAGAAATTGTGGTTCTCAATTTTTTTAACTATTCTTAACATTTCTACTTCTGCATAATTCTTCCACACATAATACTTACTAAGATTCATGATTCACAATGGAAAAAGAAGGGAGAATTATTATGATTTTAGTACAATTTTCAACCTATGTCGGAGTGGGAATGAAATTTGGAAAGCCCGCATCTTCTTCATTCTCTCAACAAAATCAATTTCTTCCATTACAAAAAAACTCACTCTCATAAGCTTTTCTCTATCATGTCCCTCCCTCCCCTTCTCTCTCTACTCCGATTCCGCAACCCGTGAAGAGAGAATGGCGTCCATTCAGCACCCGAACAACAGCAACGGCGCCGCATCGCCGATGCCGAGAGTCCACCCCCAGTTCTCTACGGTCTCCGTTCAGAAGCTTCGCCGCGTCAACCTCATCATGCTCGTCTTCCGGTTCGGCGCCTTCTGCTTCTCCCTCGCCGCCGCCATTTTCATGTTCTCCAATTCTCACGGATCCGGCTCTCCCAGTTGGCACAACTTCGGCGCATTCAGGTAGAATTCGCATCTAAAATTTGGGGGGGATTTTGAATTTCGACTGATTCAACTGCGCGTACTCAGGTTTGTGGCGGTTGCGAATGGAATTGTGGGCTTATATTCTCTCTTCGAAGTCGGAGCTTCAGTGTGGGAGATTTCTAGAGACGCGACCGTCTTTCCCGAACCAGTCCAAGTGTGGTTCGATTTCGGCCACGATCAGGTTCTCCTTGTTCTTAGACCTAATTAGGCAGAGTTCCATTTCCGAATGGAAGCAAATGTGAACATAGCGAGTACGCCGTCGTGTTTTTTGCTTTGTGTAGGTTTTCGCGTACATGCTGCTGTCGGCGGGAGCGGCGGGAGCGGCGTTTGGCCGGACGTTGGCGAACAGTGAGACGTGTACGGAGGAGAATGCGTTTTGCATCCAATCGTACATCTCGATCGGGTTAGGATTTGCCGGGTTCATTTTCCTGGGTCTTTCATCCCTGATGTCCGGGTATCGGGTTGTGTGCTTCATATTGTACGGGTCTCGATATCCGGCTTGAGAAAATTAGTGGGCCAGATTAATGTGTAGATGAGCGCTGGTACGCTTTGAGCCTGGCCCATACCACAGTTTAACATTCTTTATTATCTGTCGTTGTGGTGTAGATTATGATTGGTAGTTGGACAAACCGCGTTGTGATTTATTATATTCCGTAATAAATGAATGTCGTAAAATGAAATATGGCTCTTTCAGAGAATAATTCGTAAAACAAAATTTATGGTACAGTGGTACACATTTTGTGTACACTCCATAATTGGCTATATATACGGGTAATCCTACATTTGCATCAAATTAGTTTCAACTCAATTTGCTATACTTCTTCTTGATGAACGTTAAAAACTATATATACCTGTAATTTAATCTCGAACCGAGAGTTGCTCAAGTGACCGACTGCAATTAATACTAGATCATGGAGGCCTCAAGTGGCATGAGAGTCAACCGATCATGTTAGAGCACCACATACCCCCCCATATACCTTCATATATTATAAATAACAATATTTAATTCATTGTAAGATTGAGCATTCATTTACTCACAAGCTTATATTGTATTCTAGCTCTTGTATTAGCCTTTGGACTGTAACTACCGTTCGACCATTTTTGTGTAATCGTTATTACTGTGTTAATATAAGCAAGACTGTTTGCGTGAATCTGTCAATTTTTATATTTCTTTTATACACGTTACTGTAGCAATTTTACCTTAGATTCAAGGTTAATGTTGGACTTTCGGGTCATTCGGGACTTAACCTCAACACTGGCGCTGTCTGTGGGAAACTAGGACAAAAAGTTTCAAAACAACCACTTAACTAAGGAAAAAACCTACCTACAAAATGGTCAAAATCACCTCCCATCACATGGATGGAAGTTCGGAGAGACGCGAGGACTGTAGGACACCAGGGAGCTGGACTGTCTAGGGACGATCCAGCGAGGCGTCCTACCAACAGTTTGATGGGGACTTCTTTATCCCGAAGCACTCAGGAGAAACCCCCATGCCATGTGAGATCTAGCCAAGGTGATGCAGCAGATGGCGGATGAGCAGGATGGGGGGCAATCCAGCTACACAGCGGAAACCACGTACACGCCCCCGCCTCCACTCCGACGGATGCAGTCATTTGATGAGGAAATCACTTATATAGAAACAACAAGGGCTTCTGTCCATTCACGGGCCCATTGGGGAGATCACCGAAGGGCTCATGAAAATAGGGACACGCAACACACTTATAGTGACCACACCCCGATCGGGTCCCAAGCCAGAGGGGTTACGCCAGTTGGCCCCTGATTCCATTATGAAGAACGTGATGGCAGTAGGGTCTTACGAAGACGTCAGAATTGGAATGTACCTCCACCAGAGAGAACCCCAGAATTGGTGGATCTAAGAACTCCACCACCACCTCCCCGAACGGCTCATGAGGAGGAAATGACCGAAATGAGGAGGCAAATGACTGAATCGAGAGAGCAGATGAACACAACACCCCTACAACCCACCCCGGAACGGGTCGGGATCACTTCCCCCTTCACCAAAGAAATAATGAATGCTGAAATTCAGAGGGATGCCAGACCGTCGACCGGTCAGACATATGATGGGGTGGGAGATCCCCATGTATGACGGAGGATACAACAATCACCCTCTCCACCGATGCCCTACAGACTGGGGAACTTTACAGGGACCTGAAGAAGAACCCAGGGACGGCATGTATTGAAGTGCTGGATAGGGCCCGGAAGCATGCCGCACTTGAGGAAGAAATTATGATTAGGGATAAGGTGGCTACACCTTCTGCACCAATGAAATTGATCGATCGACTGGGTCCTATCCCAGCGGCCGGACCCCCTACAAAAATGAAACGCTTCACCCCGCTCGTCATTTCCATTGCAACCATCTTTCATAATGAGAAGAACGTCATCCCTCCTCCAACAGATACAAGGGACCGTGTGGGGGTGAGGACGCTTATTGTCAAGACCACAAGAGGAAAGGGCATGCTACCAACACTTGTTGGGCGCTTCAGATAGCCATCGAGGAACTGATCCAGCAGGGTCACTTGGGGAAGTATGTGAACAGGGACCTGAATGCCACAGGTCCCATCCAAAAGCCAGTCAAAAAACCCAAAAGCTGGAGGAGGGACGATCAGTGAGATGCTCAAACGCGGAATGATGTATATATACCGCCCAGAGAGGAGGTTGAAGGATCGGAGAATCCAGGGAAGAAGCCCAGGATGGAGGGTGAAGGTTATCTTTGGAGGTGGAGAAATCGGGGACACGGCAGCCGAATGGAAGAAGTTCGAACGGAGCCTACTTGTGGCTTCCATCTCCGATCCGCCTCAGAAGAAGGGCAGGATCGAACCAATCACGTTCGGTCTTGCGGATCAGTCAGCATAACCAAGTCCGCACAGGGACGAGTTGGTGCTGAGTATGTGTATTGATAATGCCCTTATCCGCCGAGTGCTGGTGGATACAGGGAGGAGTGTGAACGTTGTGTACTTGCGGACGTTCGAGATAATGAAGCTGAAGAGAGACCAGCTGACACCCCTGAAAACTCCACTGGCGAGTTTTACAGGGAATTGTATCGACACAGAAGGGACTATCTCGCTTCTGGTCGAGATTGGAGATGAGGGACACCGGGCGGCAGTCGAGATGACATTTGTGGTGGTGAGCATTGAATGCGTCCACAATGCCATATTAGGCCGACACGGGTTAGAAGATTTGGAGGCAATTGCTTCAGTCCGGCACTCTTGCATCAAATTCCCAACTGACACTGGAGTTTGAGTAGCCTAAACAGATCCGGTTACAACCCGAAGCTGTTACAGGGAGGCGATGAAGAGGATAAATGACCGGGACCTGTGGGTGAACAACATAATGGAGGAAACCCGCCGGAAGGAATTTATCGCATGCCCTGAGCCAGCCACCTTGTTGGAATATGTTGAGCTTGACTCGCCCTCCGATCGGCAGATTGCAATTGGAGTGGATTTGGGGCTTGAGATTTTGGAAGAGGTGATTGCAGTACTGAAGGATATCTAGGTCATGTTCTCCAGAGGACCAGAAGATATGTTGGGCATTGACCCGAAGATTATTTGTCATGAGTTAGCCGTTCGGCCGGATGTTAAACCGGTCCAACAGAAGAAATAATACCAGGTGGACGAACGGTGAGATTTCACCGAGCGGGAGGTGGCCACACTGCTGAAAATCAAGCACATCAGGCCAGTGATTGTAACACCCCGGCCCCGTAGGCCCCGAGGTAGTTACTCCAGACCTCTAGTACTGTCCTCACAAACCGCCACTAGCCTTTTCTGCGCACTTTGTCCTCACTCGTGCGCGCCCCGAGAAACTTCCCAGGGGGTCACCCATCCCAAGACTACTCTCGTGCAAGCACGCTTAACTTTGGAGTTCTTGGGTGACGAGCTTCCTTAAAAGGAGATGCACCTCTGTTGGTATGAGTAGTACTATTAACCCGTTTAAATTAAATCTCAAGTGTTACAATCACCCCCACTTAGGAACGCAACGTCCTCGTTGCGCCCATAAACCAATCTCAATCATATCCCAGAATCTTTTCCCCTGCTAAGTGCCCGCCCGATATCCAACGGATCAGCACACTGTCGCAGGGTTGCTCTGATACCACTTGTAACACCCCGGCCCCGTAGGCCCCGAGGTAGTTACTCCAGACCTCTAGTACTGTCCTCACAAACCGCCACTAGCCTTTTCTGCGCACTTTGTCCTCACTCGTGCGCGCCCCGAGAAACTTCCCAGGGGGTCACCCATCCCAAGACTACTCTCGTGCAAGCACGCTTAACTTTGGAGTTCTTGGGTGATGAGCTTCCTTAAAAGGAGATGCACCTCTGTTGGTATGAGTAGTACTATTAACCCGTTTAAATTAAATCTCAAGTGTTACAGTGATCCACGTGGAGTGGTTGTCTAATGTAGTCCTCACCCCAAAGGGGCCAACTTGGAGGATGTACGTTGATTACTCTGATCTGAACAAGGCCTACCCCATGGATCCTTATCCGGTGCCCCAAATTGATTTATTAGTTGATGAAACTGCCGGGTGTGAATTGCTGAACTTCATGGATGCCTTTCGAGGGTATCATCAGAACTTTATGCACCCAGATGATGCAAAGAAAACAACATTAGTCACCTCGGACGGGGTATTTTGCTACATTGTAATGCTGTTCGGGTTTAAGAATGCTATGACCACATTCCAGAGAATGATCAGAATGATGTTCAAAGAAGTGTCGGGGTTCACCATGGAATCTTATGTGGATGACATCCTGATCAAAAGCAGGAGGAAGGAGGATCACATTCGGGGCATGGAGGAAGTCTTCAGAATCATGAGGAAGGCCAACATGAGACTAAATCCCAAGAAGTGTGCCTTCGCAGTTAACGGAGGCAAATTATTGGGATACATGATGAGCGAACGGGGGATTGAACCTGATCCTGAAAAAATCAAGGCAATAATGGACATGGAAGCACTCAGGAACCTAAAGGAGGTTCAGAGGTTAACCGGTTGTCTAATAGCATTGAGCAGGTTCCTCTCCAAACTGGCCGATTGATCAATACCATTTTTTCAGATCATGAAAAAGGCCAACCCGTTCGAGTGGACAACAGAGTGTCAAACAACCTTTGAAGATTTGAAGACCTACATGTCTTCTCCCCTGGTCCTAACCAAGGCTGATCCAGAACAGCATTTGTATATGTATCTCGTAGTCGCCGATCTTACTGTCAGTTCGGTATTGTTGAAGGAGATTGAGGGGGTTCATCGGCCGATATATTTTGTCAGCAAGAACCTGAACGGCCCTGAAACATGGTACGCCTTGATGGAGAAAACCATTCTGGCCTTGATATCTGCTATCAAACGTCTGACACCGTACTTTCAGGCCCATCCGGTAACTGATTTTACAACTCATCCGCTCGCCACCATCCTGAGGAATCTGATGGCTAGTGGGCGCATCACTAAGTGGTCCCTCCTGATCGGACAGTATCATGTAAAATTCAAACTTAGACCAACCATCAAGGGTCAGGCACTGGCGGGTTTCATTGCAGAATGCACTGCTCGGCCCATGGAGGATGGATCGAACCAGGATACCATGGATAATTGGTGGGAAATGTACGTTGATGGAGCATCTAGTTCCAAAGGCTGTGGAGGTGGAGCTGTCATCATGTCACCTGAGGGGTTTAAGGCATATCGCTCCATTCATTTTGATTTTAAAGTGACTAATAATGAGGTCGAGTATGAGGCACTTATTGCAGGTCTGAAATATGCCAAAGCTCTGGGTGCCGACCGGTTGAAATTCCGCTCGGATAGCCAGCTAGTGGTTGGCCAGGTGAATGGTACTGCCGAGGCAAAGGAAGAAAGAATGAAGGCTTACAAGGAGCTGGTCATGGAACAGACCAGCAAGTTTGAACAGGTGGTGCTCAATCAAGTTTCCAGAATAGAGAATGCAGAGGCAGATATTCTATCAAAACTTGAGAATGTTGAATTGAACGATCAGGCTCAGCTTATCCGTGCACACATCCAGCGGTTTGCCCATCGGGAGATGTTAGCAACACCGGCTACAATATAATGGCCCTTCAGGTGGAGGCTATATCCTACGTTGTTCCTAGTTGGGTCATAGACATGACCAACTACCTGAAGGATGGATCCCTCCCAACAGAACAGAACTCG